TTTTTTGTTTTTTTGGAGGGGTACACAGACACACAAACGAAAATGTGGCTTGATATAGTTTCTCTGTTAGAGCCTTTCTGGCATCAGCACTGATAAGGAGGTTTATTACCAACAACTGGGGCACAGACCCAGGGCTGGGCTTTTCACACGGAGCAGTCACTATTTTTTTATACATTAGGATTCATTTCCACCAAGCCCCGCATGTTCAACATTGGCAAGTAGGTTTGCTTTGGCCTTGGCTATTTTTAGGCACCCACTAATTCATTCAATGCATGGTACTCCTACCGATGACTCACAGTCCACAGCAGTCCAATTAAAAACTAGTGAGATTAGAGAAGAAAAGCCTTCAGTAGACATGCAGTAAATACATCATTATAACATGCTGCACAAGCATGCACACGCACACACACACGCACACACCAGGACAGTCGGGAAAAGAAAATGGCACTGAATATTAAACAGCCACCGAGTAAGTCAGGGAAGCAGTCACTTCGGGAGGATCTGGGAAGTGACAGACAGCTCTAATAACAAGTGGAAAGCAGTCAAGGGAAGTGTCAGCCCAGAGCACTTTACAAATATGTTTTACTACAACTCTGCTGAGCAAATCCTGGGTACTCTTCAGAAAAGTTGAACGTAGGGAGACAGAGGGAGGGGAGGCTGTTCACAAGATACGACGCTGTTGGAAAGCAGAAGCCAAAGGCTCCCAGGTGGGGCCATCCCCAGCAAGGGCTCTCTCCCAACCACCTCACTGCAGAAGGGGAGCTCCTGAGCCCCTGTTTCTGTGTCAGTTATCTTGCTGATCTGGGGATGGGACCACCAATCCATTTCGCAACTCCAGCTCATACTGAGAAAAACAGGTTGTGTATGTGCACAACCAGCAGAGGTTATTTAGCCTTCCTACAGAATATTAGTAACGCAGTTCCAAGAATATAGGCGGGATAAAAACGGTTTATGCACTCACTGGAAAAGTTCAGCCTTCTTTCTAGGCTTTTATAGACTGTCTCGACTTCCATAAACTCTTTTTAGAGCTTTTTTTTTTTTTTTATCTTTCAGAAGGGAACCTTTCTCTTCTCAGGGCCCAAGTCACCTAAGCTGAAGCAGGGAAGGGACACACCTACATTATACAAGGAAGGTCCCAATGCCACTGAGTGGTGGAGGGGGATTCAGACTTAGATCGTTTTGGCTCTAAGTCCCACATTTTCCTAGCAGCTAACCTGCTTTCTGTTCCAGGACATGGTGTGACACCCCCTCCTTCTTTGGAGTTGCTCTGGCTTCCATGCTGATGCAGACTTACGACCTCAAATCTGGAGAATGTTAAGTGGATTATATTTGGAAGTAAGGTTCAAGGGACAGGGTTCTATTATCCTTTGGGGCTCTCAACCAGAATCAAGGCATGGCGAAAGGGGTGGAATGTGCTACCTGTCCTCCACCTGCAGGAAATGCAGGCTTCCTGCTGTGCACATGGTGATTAACAACAAAGCCTGGAATGTCCTTTACTCCTCCCCCAGCATTGGGGTGGAGGGACTGTGAATGCAAAAAAAGCTTTGCCTGTGCAGAGATGCGCTGTTCTGGGTATGGCAAAGCCACAGGGATGGTGATGAATATGGGAAAGCGTTTTTCTCCTATACTGCTACTGCCTCACTCATCTAAAGCAGCAGCCTGGATAACACTGGAGGCATCTATCCGCAATAATAAGTAGGAATTCAGCGCCTAAAAATAATCATCAAAAAAAACCAAACAAAAAACAACTCCTCAGTGTTATATGGGATGGCTTTAGCTCCTACTTTGTCTATGTGCTGATTAGTCTGAGGTCCATAAATCTTCCCCATGATGCCCCATTGGGTTTTGGTTAGCCAATGCCAATACATTTTACAAGGGCTGTTCAGGAAGGCAGAAACGCAAAGGATTAAAAACCAAGGAGTTCCAAGAGATGACCTCGTATAAGGAACCGTCCGTGTGTTTTAGAGATGAGAGGCTCTGCAGCTCAGAGGTGAGACAGCATGTCCCGCCATGGACCCGAAGCCAGCCGGCTCTCCCCTCCCCCAACCACCCTGCTTTCACTGGGAATGGCCTGGGAGGTTTTATGAGGTCGGGCATCATCATGACTTTGTATTCAAGCAGGATTTATGCCTAGGGTCACAGAGTCACCCATCATGTTAAAAACCTTCCCTTTTTTCACAATTTCCCCATCACATTGGTGATTTTGCTGATTAAGTTCAAAAGTTTACACATTTCTACACTTCCCTGTGGGTGCAAGTATGAGTGATTTCTGACCAATTGAGAAGACCCAGACGATTCTTCAGGCCAGGGGAGAAAACTCAGGGAGACACTGACGATGCAGCCCTTGGATCCTCAATTTAAGTCCAGACATTAGTTCTCTCTCTGACTCTACTGATTCTGAACCTGTTACTTGTGGCAAACACAGCTGGTGGAGTATTTTAGCTGTGATGATGTCAGCCGATTTCTGATAGGCTTCTCGGCAAAGTGACAAACGATTGGTTGCCTAAGGACCTCGCACTTGTTTCTACAGCATGAAACCCAAGCCGTCTTTTTAGCAGCCCACAGCCCTCCTGCCTGCCTGTCTTTGCAGAAGCCCTTCCCGCATGCAGCACGGCCACCAGGGGCCACCCCGACAGACCTGTGAACAGGCCCTGACAAACATTCCACCTGCTAATTTGCACCTTGGCTGACTGCAAAGAGACTGGTTATGGGAAAGAGATGAGAGCAGAGCTCTCACATGGAAACCAGTTTCTCTATCATTTAAGCTTTCATTTTGCAAAGTTTTGAGCAGGAGAGAACACACCTAGATTCTTCCTCTCTAAGAACTGAAGAGAGCTGAGGAGCTCTCCTAGACTGTGCTCTGCTGCGAGGCTGCTGGGGCCTTGCAGGGGCAGCCCAGAGCTAAAGTGGCTGTCTTTATTCTCAAGACATGCTGGTCAGGAACCAGCAGCATTTCAAAACCAAACCTCTTCCCGTGCCTACCTCTGTCCACAATAATATTCTAAGGATTCAAAGTACTGTGAAAAACACAATTACTCTTCATTTTTGTTTACTTTCCATGCTCCACCTGGGGTCTCTGAAGAGTCAACTTTGCTCAAGTCGACCAGTCTTCTTTCTCTGAGTATCCACACCCTATTTCATGTAAGAAGTGAGTGGCCACTACAGATGGGCAGTGAGTTCTAAATAATTATGCCACTTAAAAAAAAAATCCTGAGTTTTGCTCTTTTTTTTTTTTTTTTTTGAATCAGAACTTCTGAGAGGTCTTTTTTGGGGCTTACCAAAGACTAAGCCTACAGTGACATTTCACCATAAATAAGAAAAGCATTTGGGGCTAAAAGCTCTAGGCTATGCAGGCTCCCTGATGTTCTGCAAGACCCCAAAGCCAATCATTCCCAGGAGGGTCTAGAAAGCACTTTGGAACAGTGATCCTTTCCCTTCTTCATTTGATCTTATAAAAAAAATGCTCAAAGCATTTAAAACCATTAATGAGTTTCTTTTTTGCTTGTTTTATTTTCTTCGCATGTCCCAAATATCAGCTATTCCATGACTATTTTCAACTCAGACCTGAAGGAGGCTCTGTCCCGTTTGAGTGTTGCAAAGTCCTGGATGGGAACATTTCCAGAGAGGGGGTTCTTCAGCCAGGACATTCCCAGCTGGGGGCCAAACCTGTTGATTTAAGAGACTGGGGAAAGGTGGACTGAAGGAACCCATGGAAATTAAAAGAGGATTAGTCATATGTCTAGTTTTTAACATGACTCAGCTTGGCTGCATCTGACTTTCCTATAAGCCGAGAAGGTCACCTGGGAAAGCCCTGACTTTTCATTCCGTTAACCATGCTTTGTATTTTCTATATTTTCTGACACTTTCACATTGCAGGGCCTTGCTGACCCTGGAGTGACTGTCTCTCCTAGGATTAGCTAATTCCTAGAGATAACAAACAACCCACCTGGGTGCACACCTTTCACATGAAAACCAACAAATCCAGAGCCCATCCCCCAACCACCAATTCTATTGGTCTATCACATTCTGGGCCACTATTCACCTGTCCTCATCAGTGCAGGAACAGCTACCAGGCAACTAGAGACAACCCCTGTGCACCAGAGCCCACTAAAATTATTCACAGTAGCCAATCCTAAGTCTGAGTACCCTGCCTTCCCTGTTCCTTCCGGTGGGAACCACAATAAACGCTCTTGCCCCTGTCTTTCCCTTGCTCCTGCTGCCTCCCGACCGATCCTGGTGCTTTCCCATGTGCCCCCATGGCGTGACGAACCCCCTCCTCTTGGGATATGCGAGAACCACCACCTATCTTTTCAATGCAGTCATCTCCTGATCTGTTGGCCTTACCATACCTGAATAATACTAAAACCTGTATTTTAGAACATGGATATTGGAATGGGACGTGGCAGCTTCAGCACCTAACATCCTCACCTGCACCAGCAGCTTCTTTTCCTGATGAGAAAAAGGGCAGAAGGACCACGGAAGAGACCAAAGCCCTGTAGCCTTCCTCAATCAGGGCGCCTTACCATACCTGAATAATACTAAAACCTGTATTTTAGAACATGGATATTGGAATGGGACATGGCAGCTTCAGCACCTAACATCCTCACCTGCACCAGCAGCTTCTTTTCCTGATGAGAAAAAGGGCAGAAAGACCACGGAAGAGACCAAAGCCCTGTAGCCTTCCTCAATCAGGGCGCCTCATCCGACTCACAGAACATAAAAAAATAACTAGAGGGTGACTTTCTTCACTGTCCCAAGGATGGTACATAACTAGCCCCACTCTAGAGGCACAGAGGTTAATTCATTACAAGCAACAGATGCCATGGGGAAGGAGGGTTTAATTTTCTTAGAGAACATGGCTGGGAAAGGCCAAGTCTGAGGTCTAGCTATAACTGAGAACCCTGAGTCCTGCCCCACAGAAGCTGCTCACCTCACCAGGAGGTGATGACAGCATCGCAGTCGGGGGTGTCCCCTACCTGTGTGACCCGGGCGAACGTTACCTGAGCTCGGTGCTCCCCGACGGCGAACTGTATCACAGCGATGCCCGGGCTGTGGCTGTCTTCGATCCTCTCCACGGTGCTGGAGTCGATTTTCAGGTCGTTGCTGATCTCCGCACTCTGGATGAAGTCTTCCGTTTTTAAGTCCTCCACCTTCTTCAGCTCCCCATTGGCCAACTGGATGATGGAGCCTTTCATGAAGTAGGGGGGCAGCGTGGGGGGAGCCGCGGCAGGGGACGCCACCGACTGCACCACAGGCAGGTGGATCTGGGCCTGCACCATGGCTGGGTAGGCGGCCTGGGTGACCAGGGCCTCGGGGTTGAAGTTCTCGCTCTTGGGCAGGGCGGTGGTGACAAACGTGTGAGGCACTGCAGCAAACTGGGGGGACGACGTGACGATGGCGTTGGCTGCCCCTGACGCTTCCATGTCCGTGCCACCGACCGGGATGAGCAGGGGCTGGGTGCCGGGGATCACCAGGTGCTGGGGCAGGCTGCCGGCGTAGGTGATGGCCTGCTGCTGGCCGCTCAGGTAGCCAATGACAGGGGCTTGAGTCCCCGCGTAGAAGGCCGTGGCTGGCAGTCCAACCGGGAGCGGCTCTGAAGCGCTGTGCGTGGTCTGGATGACCGTGTGGGGTGACAGCGCGTAGGACCGGTGGCCGGGCTTCCCTAAATGCAGGCCGCCCTTGTCATTGAGGGTAGAGGGCGAGGCCTCCCGATGGGCGGGCTGCTGTCCCTCCAGGTCGGCTGCGGGCGTGTTGCTGTTGGGCAGGACCATCACGGAGGCCCGGACCCCCGAAGGATCGCGACTGCTGTAGTCCGCGGGGCTCGGGTGCACCACCACGTGCCGGGACTCGTACGGGTGAGGCACCGGCTTGGCGCCGGCCTTGCCCAGGCCCAGGTCGGCCGAGGAGGGGGCGCCGTACCGCCGGCTCTTCTCCATTTCCCCGTTGAGGACCTCCTTGGCCTGGAGGGTCTGCTGCAGCCGGCCGCTGTCGGCTTTCTTGGTGGACTCCCGAGGAACGAAGTGGCCGCCGGAGTCGGTGTACTGCAGCACGACCTGGGAGGGGGGCCCCAGGGTGAGCGTGTGTGGGATCACGGTCTGGTGGGGGTGCAGGTGGACGGGGAGGGCCGGAGGCGAGGCCGCGCGCCCGGAGCTCTGCGGAGAGCTGGATATGTGCACGTACTGGTTCTGCTGGGTGGCCGGCGGGGACCCCGGGCTGAGGAGCCCCTGCGCCCTGCCCAGGTGCTGCTGCTCCACCTTGTGTCCCGGGGCCTGGCTCAGACTGCCCATGTTGGCCAGCAGAGTGGAATAGGCCTCCAGCTGCGAGCGCTGGGAGGGAGTGGTGGCCCCCGCGGCGGAGGTGACAGGGTTGGCCGGCGGGGAGATCAGCTGTGAAGGGATGAAGCCGGCGTAGGGCCCGCTGTACTGGGAGGACCCGATGAACTGGAAGGTGTGCGGCAGGTGAGTGTACTGCACAGGGGACACCGGAGTCCCTGACTGCGGGGGAGGGTACGCCGCGGGCAGCGTGGTGGCCGCCGGCACAGACCTGGGAGCGCTGGGCGGGGAGTAGTCCAGCCCCGTGGACAATGCTTTGTGTAAACCTATTCCCTGTTGTAAACCAAGCTCCACCGGAGTCCCCGCCGGCCCGTGCCTCCCGCCCCCGTGGCCTCGGCCACCAGGGTTGCCGGGGAGCCATGCCACGCCCTCCGCCCGGTGGTTGTCACTGGGCAGGGCCGTGGCCTTCTCCTCGGAGGGCCGGCTGGTGGCGGGGATCTCGCGCTTCTTGGGAGGCAGGCATTCGTTGCTCCGCTCTTGGTTGGATTTCATTTTTCGCCGTCCCCCCTCCACGGTGACTGTCTCACTGTCTGGCTGGCTCTGATTTTAGTCTGATAAATGGAAAGTCACATTTGATTTCTGTAGGGGATCCAGGCTCTTCATGAGGAATCATCTCCCCGTGGGTACGATCCACCAGCAGTAGCTCCGGATTCTGGGAAAAGGAAGAGGGCAGGGGAAAGGGAAGAGAGGAAAGGAAATCGAAATATCAGCACCAGGAAAAGACTTCGACCTCTGAACTCAACGTGAACTCCAAAAACCGGAGTGTAGCCTTAGCGTGAAAGCACAGAAAAAACTAGCCATATGGGTTAGCATGTCACCAAGGAAGATTACGAAGACACTGAGCAAGTCAATACGTTCAAGCACATACTTTTTAATGCAGTTAACAACTCCCCTAAGACATTCTCAATTCCTTCTCTCCTCCTTTTCTTCTTAGAGGGTAGATGAGGCATTTCTAAATATCCTTTTCAGTAATACTGGTTCCATTCCTCACCTCTTCTTTACCTGGCTGGAAAATCAAATGAAGCCCACGGGGAGGATGTACCAGCAAAAGTCAGCGGGACCCTGCCCTCAGGGCCAGGCACTGGGCAGGAGCACTTTAGGAGCAGAAGTCCCGAGCAGTCCTTGCACGTTATTTCTTAATCCTCACCTGCCAGAGCCACTACTCTCAATGATTCCGCCTGGCTCTGGGTCCATCCTGGATCTACAGATTTCTTCTTCTCTAATACACACACACGCACGCACACATGCACACACACGCATGCACATGTGTGTGCACCAGCTCAGCAGAGGCAGCCAAAAAATATCCTGTTCTCTGCAAGTTTCAAAAGAATCCCCAGTACAGCCACTTACAAGGTAACAGAAAGCCAAGAGAAATCTGAGACAGTTAAAAAACAAATTTGATTGTGGTTAAAAAAAAACACATACAATAATAGGGCTGATGCATTGAAAACTTCCTGAATGCGGTTACACACTTGCTATGTTTCTGTCTCTTTCTCCCCTTCCAAGTTGTCTTTGAACTTTCTCTTCACACCATCTCTCCCTTTCTCCTTGGAAAGGGCCAACTTATCATTAACATGAGAGATGAAGCCTCTTTCAGACAAATCAGACCTGTGTGTTCAAACTTGGACACATGAGCAGTCACCCTGGAGCCAGTTCTTTCGGACACATATCTCAGGCTCTTAGTAACCACTCAACTCCAAGTTGCCACTATTGTGTGGGCAAAATAATGCCCACCTGGCAAGAGGCAGAACATCACCAGAACCCACATGAACCACACTAACAAGCAGCAGGTGGCAGCACCCCCTACAGGCAGCAGCTGCAACATAAGCAATATAATATGCTGTGTTCCTGAGAGCTGTGGGATTGGGTGTTGGGAATTCCAGGCCTCGGGTTTTGGGATTTCTCCTACTCAGACCCTCTTTTCTATGATCTTATTTATTTATTTATGTATTTACTTTTTTACAGGAACTGGTTTTTATTTATTTATTTAAATTTAATTTAATTTTATCATTTCTTATTTTAAAACAAACACAGTAAGGCAAGCAGCCTTCAGCAGTCAATCCTCATCCACAATGAAGCAATGGAGACATCCCTGTTGTAACACAAACTCTTTCTCTCCTCTGCTCCCCCCGCCTGCACCACCTAATCCCAAAGCTCTCCTGTATGGCCCAGTTCACACTCCCCTACCCTAACTCATAACTTTTTTGGGGGGTGGGGTGGGGCAGACAATGATTTAATGGCCCTTGTTGGTTTTGCTTCAGCAGCAACAATGAACATCACAATGAAATGACACATGATACAACAAAAAGTTCCCCATCCGTAATGGTTTTGACCAGGTATACATGAAAGTGGAGGTTTAGAAATTTGGTGTCTCAACATCAAAGGACATTTCAGTAAGACTAACAGGATTCATCATGTGACAAGAAAGGCACTGAAAGACTGGGATGGAAACAAAAAATAATGTAAAAATACCTAAAACAGTAATGCTGAAGAAATGAAGAACTGCCAGTTACGCAATGTCAGTTACTTAGTGTCCAAACCTAGGGCTTGTATAAGTCCCAAATAACTGTATAACCTTCTCTTATAAAAAGCACAGCACATCATTTACACCCAATACTTGCAAATCAATTACAATGACACAATAAAATTAAACTACAAAAGTATCAGAAAAGTTGCCCCTTTTGGCTGCCTGGAAAGTACTGATAATGATGTTTTATTTTTAGATTTCAAGAGTCACTCTTTAAAAAGGGAACTGCATAAATTCTCACTTTCCCATATCCACTAGCAAAGATTCATTTATGAGATCTACTCAGAGGACTGTTCCATGCGCCCCCTGCTGTTCGCACAGATCCAATAAAACCCCACAGGATTTCATTAGGGGTGTTCATGCAAGAGTAATATGTCAGAATCTGAAATGAGAACATTTGCATATAGTAGGCCCAGCTAGTAGGGGAATAGGTTGATTAGCCCAAGGCAGTCCTAGGGAAGAAAATGAAGCAGCATAAAAATCCTTTCAAAGCCAAGTAAAATGTCAAACACATTCAGGAAGAGGTCCATTAGCAATGCAAATGTAAAACTGCCCGTGCAATTGAATGCACAATATACAGAATTGGAAAACCCCTCTGAATGTACTTCTTTAAGAACCCCGCTTTAGTAAATTTGAAAAAGAATGCTGACTTAGTTCTCAGTAGTGCAGAGGTTTATTTAAACTGTTTACGCAATTGAATGCACAATATACAGAATTGGAAAACCCCTCTGAATGTACTTCTTTAAGAACCCAGCTTTAGTAAATTTGAAAAAGAATGCTGACTTAGTTCTCAGTAGTGCAGAGGTTTATTTAAACTGTTTACTTGAGAGACACTGCCTTGGCCCTAAAGACTAACTGGGCTGATCTTCTGCTAATGGACCACTAAGATGTATCAGCCTTAACACACAAATTCAAATTTATTCTTCAGAAAAGTTATCCATGGAAAAACAGCATCTTTTCCAGAGATTGCCAGTGATAAATCAAGGGTACAAAGATTAACACAGAAGCTGGAGCGACCTGGGGCCAAACTGATAAAAGAATTTTAATCTATCCTCCCCCTACATTTAGAAGCAATATTTACCAGTGCAGCACGGAGGAGACAGGGCTTTCTAAATCTGGGGTAAGTGTCCCTTCCCTGTGCTCCATGAGCTGTCTGGATGTTCTACATCTTCCTTCAGGGAACATGAGGGCAGGGATTAGGGGTCTTGCTGTGTTTTCATTAGACCACTAGAGGGTGCCACAGTATGCCACCATGTCCCTGATACATTGGGTACATGGGATGAAAGAACAGAGATGTAATTTAAGAAGGTGGAAAAAGTAGACTAGGAAAATGAATGGAGAGAGAGAGAGAAAAGAGATAAGAAAGAAGAAAAAAGGAGAGTGGGATTTCTGCTTTTAGAGTCTCCTAGTTGCAGACAAATGTTCTCTGTGTCCTGAATTTTTCTTTCAGAGGTTCCCGAGGAGTTCACCCCACCCCCATGTACCTGCCACAACAAACAAACATGGGGCCACACACAATAACATAAATGCTAAGTTACCAGAGAACAACATATGCAGATCACACTGTTTAAACATCATTACCGCTAAAGGAAAAGTAGAGGGGGAGTTAATAGATTAACCAAGACAAAGTGATTTGGGGTTTACTACCTATGGTTTGCTTGATAATCAGTGTTCTGCATACATTCTTCTTAAGTATCTTCATATCTACATTTATATCTATCTATCAGTATTTTAAAATTTAATCCAGTGGCATAAGGTCTTGCCAAGGTATGGTCCCTCAGACCAGCAACACCTGGAAGCTTGTTAAAAATGCAGACTCTCAGGCCCCACCCAGACCTACGGATTCCAAATCTGCATTTTAATTAGATCTCTAGGTGATTCATATACACAGTCATTTTGAGAAACTCTGGAATAAGATTAAATTTTCTATTCCTAAACTTTCAAGCAAATTAAACCTCTCCAGCCTTTTTCGAATGGAGTAGGCACTGGGAAACCAAGCGAGGTGCTGTACGTAAACATAGAGTTGATGCAGCTTTGGAGACAGACTGCTAATATTTAGCTGAGCTCAGCTGTTTACTCTGGGGTTATCTAAACCCAATGTAGCTCTAAACAGCAAATATTCCTTTTCTTCTGGTCTTTCAAAAACTAGAGAAACATACTTTAAAAAGGCTATTATAGATGTGTACATGACTCAGTCATCTCCAGGAAGAAAAACGAAATTTAACAAAGGCCCCACACTTATATCTTCGCTATAATTTAGTTTCAAAATTTTTTTTGCTATTACCATGGATCCAGACTGTTTTGAGAAGCAAAAGGAAAATGAGATGCTTCTGTGCTAGAGACGTGGGAATATGCGCCCACTGACTCCAAGTCCCATAAATAACAACCGACTGCTCGGAATGGAAGATGCTCCTGGAATGTGATACATGCAGTCCTAAAACTGCATCCCAAGGCCAGGGCAATACACTGGGTTACACTGTCTACACACCCAATCCCATGTTTCCCAGTTTGAATGAACCATTGACTGTCTGGCATGTATGTTTACACACAAACAGGAGCATAGTCACAGCTTTCAAGAGGAGGAAATGCAGACTGATGAACTGTGTCAGTACTGGAAAAACTATATGACCATTTAGGAGACGGAATGCCTGGACGTGATGGCAGAAGTCACCAGGGAATGGCAAGTATTCTTGAAATCCTGACTCACCAATCTCCTTCCAGTTTCACTGTATCACTAAACTGGAAGATCTGTGTAGTGCACTGGCAGATTTGGTTAGGCATTAAAAATAGGCTCAAACCTGACATCCTTGGAGTATCCAGGAAGGAGGAAGGGGAGGGAGATGTTAGCCCTAATTAGATACCTTCATGGCTGAAGAAATAAACATGCCCCAAAGGAAGCGGATCACATATCTATTCATCAAACACTTACTTTGTTTCCAGTATGCACAGTGGACCTTGATTGTTC